ATTGAAGATCAAAATTTTAACAGCGGTTGGCTTGGTAAGTCCTGCTACAGGCCATTTTTATGTATTGTATGTTTTACCTTATAGGAACAAATCAAAATTATGCATAACTTTTGAAGAAAGTGCTATGCACCCAAATTCATTTAGGATTTTTATTGGAGCTCTATGCAGTATCTATGGAAAAAATTCCTTGAAATTTCAGCGTGCACCTAGAAAGATTTCCTTGTTAGTCAAAAAAAGTCGATACTAAACAATATTCTTTATTTTCATGCAGATTAGAATTCTCCATATCGAAGAGTGATCGATTGCTAGCCACGCCCAACTATCATTATCGTTCTTCATATTACAAGAGTTATGACAGTCATAGATTCCTTTCTTGCATGTTGACAATCGAAAGTAGACACGAAAGCGTTTAGCTCTTTTCCCTCCTTACATTAAACCGATAGCATTATACTTAGAGATCAGAAGAACAAATTCAATTGGTCTTATTGAGTTACTTAGGTGTACCGTTTGTTGTTCTTTTGGTCGCATGCTGACGAATAGCTCTTAACTAAATTAGTTTTATATCTGCAAGGCATATCCAAGGACTATCAACGAAATGCCCCAGACATTGCAATATTCCAAGAGCAAACTAATGAAATTTCATCTTCGATCTCTCATTAGATTTCTGATTGAACACTGTCTGAGCGTCTGCGCGAGATTATCAGTCGCTTCATCCGTATTGATATCAACTCACATCTGCACCCGCAGTCATACGGAAACTCAGAATTCCATCTTGTTTTCTTCTTATCTAAGACAGGTTGAATTAGTGCTGGTAATCTAATCATTCATGTGTTGAACGACATTTCCCTTGTATTGTCTATTCTCATTGCAACATATGGTCCAGTGGCATATTCACAAGTCAAACTGCTATTTTACTTCTGCCTCTGTCTTCTTTTAACTAATGTACCGCGGCTAGAACAATTATATTGACAATGGGAAAAGATTTTTATTATATTTTTGAGCTAATTGTTAGTAGCTCGATGATACTTTATTGTTGTGAAAGCTCACTAAAAATCAGAATGAAACTATAACCCAATAAATGTCTTTGAAAAACATTCAAATGACATAAAGTTTTGTCGGTTGAACGATAGCAAAGTGAAGACAATGGTCAAAAACGTTTTTCTCGGCATCTATTACGGCTTGATTGGCTTCTTTCAATGAATACATTCGAGTACTGATTTTGTTCAAATCCAGAATACCACTTTTTACCATAGAAATCAATGGTTGGAATGAATTATGTGGAAACACAAAGCAACCACGAATTTCAATTTCATTCAGCATTATTTCTATATAAGTCAATGAAATAACAACTTCAATATTTCCAACGAATATTGCTTTACCATAATACTTCAACGCTCGAATACAAGTCAGTAGAGGTTCAACGACTGATATACCACCAATGAAATCAACAATAAGATCGACACCAATATAGCCTGTTAAATTTTTCAACTTTTCCACGCTAAAATTTCATTGTGGCGATGTATAAACGACGAAAAAGACTAGTTTCGTGTCCTACGTTTGTAACTTATCCAGTTTATGCTTATTTCAACCGACAGAAATGATTTTCAATGCTCTCATGGCTAGAGCGATAAATACTGCTCTAGCTCCGAAATCATCTGTAACACCAATGATGATTATTGTATCACCTAGTTGAAAATCTTCTTGGTGTAGGCCGCGTTAAGAAATCGCGAAATACGATAAAGTCATCCATTGTGCTACAGCATAATTGAATTCGCGACAGTTTTGTATGATTGTGAAATTAGATGCAGGTAGTAGTTGATATTCGGCTAGTGCTCCATCTTTCCACACATGTTATGTTCGACTCCCTTCAGTTGTCAAAGCCGTCCAACCGATAAGAATATCGTCTCGTTTAGCATCAGGTTGTTGAGAATCGTAAATACGCGGATCAACAAGAACTAGTTGGCCAATTTCAATATCAAAAAAATTGGGTTCAACGTCTCCGACGATACACAACGAAGTCGGTCTATATGCACTCAGAAATGGCAGTGACATTGTGTATTTGCGTTTGTCAGAAAGGACTTCTCTGGTAAACGCTAGTAACTGTATCATGGGTAAGAACGCACACAGATGAGCAAGAATGAAAAAATAACATTCGATAATAAGATTCTGCTTTGTTTGCTGCGATTATGATGCAGAAAATAAGAAAATTGAAGACCTGTTTTTGATAACTAGCAATAAAGATAGCAATTCATATTTCACCACAAAAAAGACATGCGTGTAGTTTATATAGTCCAATCGATATATTCGACCGCAGTCAAGTGTGCGTGTCGGTAGGTTGTGTTGATAGTGTATGTGGATGTTTATATGATTGGGAACATGTGTGTGCATGTAGACATGTTTCTTTTCTTCGCTTATTAACTCCCTTATCTACACCCGCAACTATATCCGCGCGCATCGTCAAGATTCAAGCATACCAAAAATTGAATTCGCTTAATTGTTTAGCGGATGAAGGATTGAGTGAGTGATAATGTCATGGAATAAAATATTTCTGCGACTGACATATATTGTATCAAGAAAAACACTCGATAGCCTCCTGAAAAAGTTTAAATACCTTTCAAACTGCTGTTTCCTTTCAAAATATTGCAATTCTATTCTCTTGCATTTAGAATTGCACAAATTTTTAAGTGAGCATTCAGAGCAACTTCTTTTCCGATTACTCTTCTTTTATATTAAAATTCGTTTAATATCAATTCTTTAGTTGTTTTTAGCTTTTCAGGTTTTTTCCGTTGTTTTTGATATATTTTCTGAACCTTGCAATGAAAATCATGAATTCGACTTTTTGAAATCGATCATAAATAATTGTGTCATGTTCTCAATTTTTGAATTTTTTATGTTCTTTCAAAAGAATATCAAAATTTTTTTAAAAATAAGAGATTTTTGCCAAAGCTACAATTAATCAGAATGATTTGGAACCAATCAAGAAAATCAGGACCCGCTGCTGTTTATGGTCTAAGATATTACGATCTTGTTGAACTTCAACGAATAGGATAATAAATATTTCAATCTCATATCTTGAGTATTCAGAAAGAATAATACTACTTTTCAAATGAATTTTCCATCCATGAGTTCTTAGCTTCTAATGAGTTTACTTGGTTTTTTTATATTACTAATAACTACTGAAGGCCTTTTCGTTTCTATGAAGCACCGGAAGTTCATATATGATAAGATAACACCTGCATTTTCTTCATGCGACGAGAAGTTGTCCGTGAGATGTGATGGGACTTTCTCTTTCCATTTCAAGCTCTGGTTGGAAAGCTGGTATCTGCTTGTTGATCAATCTCATCAATTATATTTTCTGTATTTTATCTAACATAAACTGATTCGTAATGTCAATGCAGTGATTTTTATCATACTCATCATCTTTATGTTGCTCTCCCTTACCTCAGACATTTCTTCATCATGAAATTCGAAAGTTTCATAAGTACACAATCCAACAAAGTAATTTATCTTCGAATAACTTTAGAACTTCAAATAATTGCTGTGAAGTCAAAGCTTCTTCTGTACGTATCGAAGAATTTTCTAAGCAAGAGTCAATTTGAGTCAAATATAGAAATTGCTTCGCGATACTCAGTAAATTCATGCTTCGATTTGATGAAATAAACTTTTTCAAGCAATAAATGTTGCAAAGGATAAGAGAAAGTACTTCTTTAAAGCCATCTTTCATTGTTATTTCTTAATATCAACAGCAAAGAAATAATGAATAAAAGCTATTTACATATTAACATTGAAATTTGTTCGATTTTTAAAATTCTTTTTCATGATATCATTGGCGTCATTGTGAATTCTTAGAAGGAAACTAATGATCACTACTCAGGTGCTGACTCTCTCTTTTACTCAGCGATCGCACAACAGAAGATTAGTTCCATGTACCACCAAATGATGCATCAATGCGTTCAAAATTCAAACATTTTATGAACAAGTCATGTTTCAAGCATAACAAACATCTTTCTTTGATTTCTATGTTATCCAAGTTTGAGAAGACATCGAAGCTAGTATGATCGTCACGTAATCAATAAATCTTCGAAAGATTATTCAAATGTGCTATTGAAATATTCAATTGATTACATAGGACATGAATGTGAATATTTCTAATATTGTGATGCTTCTGTATTGAAAGTTTAAATACGGTGAATTTTCAATATTTACGTCTAGATGCGTCAAGAACAGCCTCTATTTAAAATTTGTTAGCTTGACAGTGAGAGTTTTAATCTGATCTTAATGTGGCTAATCTTGTTATCTAACAACACAGATTCTTCTGTAATTAGTAAGATAGAAAACTAGATATCTCAAGATAGATTTTAAAGACTCGAGTTGAAAATATGTATGTAATTTTAGATGTAGATTCAGATTGTAATAAAAATTTGAAAGATTAATGGTGGATCAATTGTCATGTTTTTCATTGCGTTCAAGAAAGTTACTGAGATTAGTTTACACATACATATTTGATACTAAACTAACTACTTTGTTTACTGTCGAAACTTGTCTGACAAAGACGAAAACATTGTCTAATCGCAAGTTAATGTCACATCTACATATATGCTTCATTTTTTTCTTTTCTTATACTACATCAAAACAATACTTGAGAGAAGATAACAAATGAGGTTTCATTATATATAGGCAAGCACAAGATATCTCCCTTTCATATAGCTCGAAAATAGAACGAGATATGAATATTAATCTTTTTCTTCGTGTCCACTTGTACGGTACGTCGAATACGAATGTCAGGCTCAAAAAGGATTTTATAAATAGTAAAACAATTTGTGTAAAAATTAGAGAAGATAAGTTAACTTGACAAATGTAAAAAAAATTCTTCAAAAATACTGTCGGAAGTATATACATTTGACATAAGAATTTGATTTTACAAGCATCTAGATTATATAGATATCATGTCTATTTAGATAATGACATCAATTCTTTTTACAATATTGTTCATTGTTGTTATGGTCTCAACATCGACAAAAGCGGTTACAACAAACATTCTTTTATACGATTTGCGTCCTTCAACAAATGTTTCACTCGATGATATATATGAATATGCTCATCTGCTAGGTGCACTAAGTGGACTCGCAAACAGAGATAGGCCTAGATTTTTTACAATTTACAGTGATTCAGATCTACGTTGGCTATTTTACATGGTTTCAGTTAATTGGCCACAAGATGCTAATTACATCGTAGTAGCGTCACTCGTTGACCTCATTAGGCTCTTAACCGATGATATAAAGGGTGTTGCACTTTATGATCCTAGTGTTCCAGCAACTTCAAATCTTGCATCCACTGCATCGGGTGTTTACGATCTAATACCAATTTGCTATAAACCTATCCCTAATTCTTTGTATACTCAACTTGTTGTGGGAGGTCCACAGTTGACCATCAAAATAAGCTTTGTCGATATGTTCACGGGAAACGTTACCGGTAGCGCTAAAGCTGATGCATACTTGTGGGCAGCTGAGCATTTTCTGGACAGTAAACTTGCAGATGCTACTTATCTTGGTTATTACATTGACAAGTGGTGGTCTCAATCTGCTCAGGCGTCACAAGCTCCTTTCGAAAATTTGGCAGTTAACCATGACTGGATCATCAAAAACCGTGGATTTGTATTTGATTTATCGCCTTGGGATGATCAAGCACCGAATGACGATCCTCAACAACCTATTGGAGCAGATTACAATACACTCATTACGTTATTACGAAAATCATATCAGCAACACAATGGAACGAAGTTTAGCACTGTAAGTGGATTTGTACCGTGGCTCTTTAAATATGTGAATGAAAAGCACGGTGGTGTACCATCTGAGTGGCGTATGACTCACATCATGTCTGCATTTAATGTTGTAATAGATGCTGATGCTTGTTGTGTGGATTATTTCGCCAATGCTGCTTTCTTTAGTCATTATTCATTGACTCAAGGTCAGAAACGGTTTGTTCAAAATCCTTTACCATCTCGTGAACAACTTATTCAGCAAGGGTTTTTAAACGAACAAAACATAGTATCCCAGAAAACATACTGTCTATATTATGCAGGCGATTATGACTCAGCGGCATGGTTTGCTAATAAGTTCAAAAACCTCTGGGATGATCCCAAACGAGGATCTGTGCCTGTTGCATGGGCAGTCAATCCTAATCTGTACGACCGCTTTCCATTATTACACCCTTATTTGTACCAAACTCGTACTGTTAATGATTTCTTTGTCAGTGGAGATTCGGGTTCTGGCTACTTAAACCCCACCCAATTATTTGAGCCAAGAAAATTTTCTAGTTTGCCTCGTGCTGATGATCTATGGATTGAAAGAAATCGATTCTTTTATAACAAATTCAACATCAAACACACGGGATTCGTCATTAATGGTGATGCTGGTATGCTAACTAACAATTCTGACTTGATGTATACTAAATTTAGTCCACTTGGATTTACACGCCAACAAGGCTATACAACACTTGAGGAAACGGCGCTAATACCTGGTACAAGAGTACCTAGTTTCACTGAAACGGATCTGTCGGACAAAGACGAAGTAAAGCAAATACTCTCATACTATAAACCCAATGATGTAAGATTCGTAGTCTTTCGAGGTATTCTGCGTAGTGCATCCAACTATGCAGATATTGCTGAAAAAGTTCAGCAAATACAACCTAATATTACCTTCGTTGATCCATATACATTTGCGTTACTTGCAAGAATTCATCTTAGTGGAGATACTGCAAGTAATGATGACCTTGTTTCTTATGTTGACGATAATCTTCCGACATTGGTCAGCGAAGGGGATATTATCAAGGTCAATTTCTCCATTCGAAATGAAGGTTGGAATACGTTGAATGGTCTCCATTTGAAACTTATATTTGCTTGTGATATTGAGTATATATTTAGTTGGAGCACCGAAATCAAACACGGTGATATTGGAACGTCTTCTTATCAATTTCAAGTTGAGTGTGATCAACCTGGAGAGTATAAGGTGAAATATCAGCTTTTTAGAGGTAATACATCATTTGAAGAGTTTGGAAATGTACCATGGACTAGTTCGGTGCAGTTGCTTTAAATGATCATCTATGAAAATATGTTGACGGTTTTTAACTGCTAGTTTCACTTCTTCTATTGGACTACTATTTTCATTATTATTCCTAATTCTGACCAGTTTTTTCATTTGAATACATGCATTGTTGAAAACTGTATTAAAATTAAAAGTCAATTGATTAAACTTCTGCATATTTCACAACAACTGCTTGAATATTTTATTGGCATGTCTTCGAATTTGTGATTATTTTTGAATGTAAAGCATTGAAACATCTTAGACTATTAATCTATACAATGTCGTCAGTGAATGAGTATTCTGGTCTAAAATGCACTGTTTTGACGACAGTACAACGTGCGAATAGAAAAACAAATAAAGTGATTTAACTCATAAATATTTATCTGACTTATAATCGCAAAGTAGATTTTTTTAGAGTAAAAATAGCCTTTACTATTTTCTTCCGAAGTTATTTCATACCTGAGATGATTTATCAATTGGATAAGTGTAAGAAGTGACATGACTTATATGTAAACTGCATCCATTATTTTTTAAAAATGAAAGTAAAAAAGGTTTCCATGAAGCTAACATTCGAGTTCGAAGCAAGTGGCTTAAAGGCACTCACTTATGGAAGGAGTCGAGCTATCCATCTTTCACACACTGAGCTATCAGTAAACGTTTACCACCATATTTCATCTACTAGTTGAAAAGCATTATGACGAATATGAATATCAAGCACATTGTAAACGGTTGTGCTTCGTTGAACAGATTAAATATGGGGTTCGAAAGTTCATTGATCCATGTCCGACTGCGATTAATAGCATACTATAACTGTACAGCAAGGGTCAATGCTCAACCCATTCTTGATCTAGTATCAAACCAATATCACGTAACCATTTTCAATTCATCAGACCACATTTTATATCAGAACTTTGTAGAGGATTGTCATCAAAGATCTTATTGCTCCTGTTCCAAACAACGAGCAAAGCACTTTTACCATCAGAGGTTGCTACTCCTACATATAGACACAATTCTAAAGAACGTTTTAATAATGATTTCCGGCTCCCAGTTTGAACTTCCAGTCGCATTGATTATTCAGTGCCGATTCTATCTCATCATGATTTTCTGCTTTTGAAATTGCATGTCGTTGATGTATTATTTAATGGCATCGCGAATTGCTTGAATCTGTCTGATTCATTCAACAAGAGAATCAAGTTCTACCCTCAGTAGTTTCTCGTTATTGGATCCTAAAGAAATATTTCTAGATTGTGTATTCAGCAATTGAACTGTTACTGTAATCGCTTCCCTGATAATGGTGATTCATATTTAGCAATTAGTATTGCTGTTCTTGAAAGTATTAATATCTAAAGACAATTATAATTAGTAAAAATCTGTGAAAATAAACGGTGTCATCGGGAATCTATAAAATATAATAGTGAACATTTGTTTTGCTGTTTATGCTATGACAGGACTGGGTTGTGCAAAGAAAGAAGTCGCACGGAGTGATGCGTCTTTATAACAATGTCGAAAGATTGGAAAGCATCCGTCAGTTTGTTTTTCTCTAGTGCTAACCTAGAGATTGAGCTGACCTTCTTTGGTTGATATTATAGCTTGATCTCTTCTCTGAAATCTATGAGTAGCTCGCTGGAGTTATTGTTTCCAGAAAAATGCCTAAGAAGTAAGCAGGAAACCATGCAGATCTATCTGAAGCTTGAAACTCAGTAATAGTGGCTAGCAGTAATACAAGTCAAGTTAAGTGATAACTCTCGATCATTGGAATTCACGCGTTCTCATCAGTAAGTTGAAGTGATAAAATACGAATGAGATTTCTAGGAATCCTACGATAGCCGATGTTCAACGAAGTCTCATGTAACGTCAAAATAATCTGTTTTTCGTGCAAATAATGTTTGCTGTGATCAGCTTGCTTGCCAACACACAGTGGACAACTTTCGCATACCAGGTAGACATGGAATTTTCGTGCTCGGCAATGAGTCTTTATTGCTCAGAAGTGATTATATATCATTTACGAGGGAAGATCACCAACTGTTCAATCGCTTTTGCGTTGAAACTATTTGCACTATGTAGCTTCAAGGGACTTATGAATACTCTGAAAAAAATTTGGGCAGCTAGCTTGTTGTTACGAAAATATTCCATTTGTAAGATGTGGTTTTTGTTGAGTCCTGTGGTCCCTCTCAGGAACGTCAGAGAAATTGATTTTCGAATTTCGACTAGAAACTTTACATAGAAACGGGTACCGATGAGAACAGCTTCTTTTTGGATGTTTCAGATCTCGCTATTGTTCCTATAACCAGACGCAGCTATTGCAAAAATGTGTATTTTACATTGTTCAAACAGACCAGAAAACTTGATGAAAGAAACAAATCAAGAGATCTGAAACTTTCACAAAATATGATTCTCGCTGAGGCCTGTTTCTACATAATGTTTCAAGCTGAAATTCTAAAATCAATTTTACTGACGTTCCTGAGGTGGACCACAGGACTCATTAAAAACCACACCTTACAAATGGAATATTTTCGTAACAATAAGCCAGCTGCCCAAATTTTTTCAGAGTATTCATAATTCCCTTGGAACTACATAATGCAAATAATTTCAACACAAAAGCGATTGAACGGTTGGTGACCTTCCCTCGTTGGAAAATCATCTTTAAGAAAATAAACCATTTTTTCAAAAAAAGTTTTTTCCCAAAAATTATTCGTAGAAGGCATTGCTTGTTAGCCACGACTGCTTTCAGCAGAGCACAGCTGAATCAATCTCACCGTTTTGGTTCATCTTTTTACGGTAGATAGGCCTTGTTAAGTTAAGAAGAAACTGAAAATTTCAGTTCAAACGGAGCAGTCGTGGTTAACAAGCAATGCCTTCTACGAATAATTTTTGGGA